TTTCCCTTAGGTTCTCTACTCTCACATGTGCAAATCTTTCTGAGGACTCTAAGGGTTCCACCCTGCCCACCAGGCCCAGAGATGTCAGGGGGTTGAACCATAGTAACTTTTTTAACCTCTGTGTCCTGCCGGTATGAACGAGATCTGATCCCTCCCTTCACATCGCTCACTATTTTAGGGTGCACAGAAATATCTGCAACCTCCAGGCTTCAGGTTCCCCTAAAACAGGGGTGGGGAACGTCTGGCCCAGGTGCTGTATAAGGCCGGCAAAATCACTTGGCCTGGCCCTGCCAAGGCACTAGAGGTGAGATAATTAAATCTTTGATCAAATATAGCAGCTAATTTTTAAGTTGATAATTTTGTATGGCCCACAAATGATGTTGTAAATATTCAAATGGCCCTTGGCAGAAAAAGGTTCCCCACCCCTGCCCTAGAGAGATAAAGAGGGGGTCTCCTATCACTGAAACCCACATGTGTGCACTGCCCACATTCATGGTTATTGTAGTAGCATCCACAACAGTCAAGATGTGGAAACAGCCTACCTGTGCATCAACAGATAAGTTGATAAGCAAAATGTGGTATACACATACAATGGAATAGTATTCAGCCTCAAAACAGAAGGAAATCCTGCCATTTGAGGCAATATGAATTAACCTTGAGGACATTATGCTACACGAAATAAGGCAATCACCAAAGGGCAAATGCTACATGATTTCCCTTCTACGAGGTATCTAAAACAGTCAAAGTCATAGAATCAAAGAGTGGAATGGTGGTGGCCAGTGGCTGGGGGAGGGGAAAGGGAGTGGCTGATCCTAGGCATGAAGAGGCCAGCTTGCAAAAGGCCTGCCTCCATAGCTCTCAGGGCTGTTTTGGAGGATGGACTTGGGATTTCTCCTTGTCGCCTCACCTGGGCTCCTGAGTAGGTGCTAATTCACTGGACCCAAGCAGGCCCTGTCCATCTGCCCTGGGCTGGGCCACGTGGCTGTGAGAGCCCTGAATGGCCAGGCAAGGGACCTGCCTCCTAGAACTGACTCAGTTGCTTTGCTTACTTCTGACACTCATTGCTCCCACTTGTAGAGGAACCCCCAAAGAGCGTTCAGTGCTCACGTGTGGCCAGCTGATTTCCGGCCTCTTCCTAGTGCCTTTGGCTGAGGAAAGTATTGACTCTGCAGTGCAGTATCCCCTCCTGTTGGCCTCTGGACCCACCTACGGGCCCTGGACTCTGATACTCTGAGGTGGAAGCTCATTTCCCAGCCACCTTTCCTGC